AGGTTCTCTCTCTCTTTCTTTGTGATCCTTGCTAGTGGTTTATCAATCTTTTTTATTTTCTCAAAGAACCATCTCTTGGTTCATTGATCTTTTGAATTTTTTTTTGGGGGGGGAGTTTCATGTCGTTGATTTCTGCTCTAAGTTTTATTATCTCTTTCCTTCTGCCTGGTTTGGACTCATTTTGTTGGTCCTTTTCTAAGATCTTGAGCTGTGAAGTCAAGTTGTGGGCCCTTTCCTCCTTCCTGAGAAATGTTTGCAGAGCTATAAATTTTCCCCTTAACATGGCTTTGGCTGTGTCCCACAGGTTCTGGTAGCTCGTGTCTTCATTCTCATTTGTTTACAGGTATCTTTTGATTTCTTTCTGGATTTCTTTCCTGACCCACTCATTGTTCAACATTGATTTGTTTCATTTCCAGGTGTTTGATTGGGTTTTCTGCTCTGTACATGATTAACCTCTATCTTCAGTGCATCGTGGTCTGAAAAGATAGTTGATACAATGCCTATCTTCTTTATTCTGTTGAGGTATGATTTGTGGCCAAGCATATCGTCTATTCTGGAAAATGTTCCATGTGTATTGGACAAGAATGTGTATTCTTTTGAGGTGGGGGTATGTAAATTCCTGTATAGCTCTATTAGCCCTCTCTCTTCTACTTCTTCCTTCAGAGCCATTATTTCCTTGCTGAGTTTTAATCTTCTTGATCTATTCAGAGATGATAAGGCGGTGTTCAAGTCTCCAACTACTAGTGTTTTACTTGCAACGTCCTTCTTAAGGTCTGTTAGCAGTTGTTGTAAGTATTTGACTGGTCCCTCATTGGATGCGTACACATTTAGGGATGTGATTTCTTCCTGCTGTTCATATCTCTTGATTAATAAAAAATGGCTTTCACTTTCCCTTCTAATCTTTTTTAATTTTAAATCTATGTCGTCTGATACTAGTAAGTGCACCCCAGCTTTTTTGAGGGGATTGTTTGCTTGCAGGATTGTTTTCCATTCTTTGACTTTGAGTCTGTGTTTGTTCTGACTATTCAGATGTGTTTCTTGTAGGCAGCAGAATGTTGGATTCAGTCTCTGAATCCATTTTGCCACTCTGTGTCTCTTAATTGGTGAATTTATACCATTGACATTGAGAGAAATTATTGTCATGGGGTTTTGTGTCATCTTTCTGTAAGGATTTGTTGTGTTTGTAGGGGTTTTTCTTGTCTTACAGTAGCCCCTTTAGCCCTTCTTTGAGGTTTGGTTTTGAGTCTATGAAGTTCCTGAGCTGTTGTTTATCCACAAAATAGTATACCATACCGCTCCTTCAATTTTGAGTGAGAATTTAGCCAGATAAAAGTATTCTTGGTGAGGGATTCATTTCAGTGAGTTTTTTCATTATATCCCACCATTGCCTTCGTGCTTGGAGGGTTTCCTCTGATAGGTCTGCCGTGAATCTAACAGGTGCTCCTTTATATGTGATTTCCTTCTTTGACCTTGCTGCTTGCAGTATTGTTTCTCTATCTGTGGCATCCAGCATTCTAACACGATATGCATTGGAGTTTTTTTGTTAGGATCTTTTTTAGAATCTGAATGCCTGCATTCTCCAGCTCTGGTAACGTTTCTCAATGATTTCTTTAACTGCGACTTTTTCATTGATATTGCTTCCCTGTCCTTTGGTACTCTATTGATTCTAATGTTGTTCCTCTTGAAATCATCCCCTAGGACTCTGATTCACCCTAGTTCTATTTTGAGGTCTCTTCCCATTGTTTCTTGTTGCCTGTAGGCTTTGTGCAGCTCATCTTCAAGCGCACTGATTCTGTCTTCTGCTGTAGCCATCCTACTTTTGAGGGCACACGTTGAGTTTTGTATTTCATCTACCAAATCCTTTATTCGTGACACTTCTGTGTGTAGCTTTTCAATTTCTGCTTTATTTCTTCCTGTAATTTCTCAATTGTCCGATCCATTGTTTCTTTCATGTCCTCCTTTAATTTAATTATATCTGTTCCACTGTTTCTTTGAGTTCTTGAACATCTTCAATAGTTCATCTTAATTCTTTATCAAAGAGCTCACATTTGTGAATAACGCCCATTGAGGCTTCGGATTCTTTACATCGTCCTCTCCTCTTGGTAGGGATTTGTGCTGTTTCTTCATGTTGTTGTGGTGGTATGGAAACTGAGATTTGACACCAGATTTCTAGGTATGGGTAAAATAACTGCAGCCCCACCAGGGCGGCAGTCGGAGGAGGGGGCAGGGATAGTCTGAGTCCGAGAAGGTGACTGGGACACTGGCTGTTTTGGTATTTACTTTTATCCCAATAGGAAGCACAGTGACTCTTGTTTAAAGATGTTTTGTTTTTCAACAATTTAGATGTTGAGGGGAGAGGGGGTTATTGATAGGTCTTTTCTCCAATTGCTACCTTGGGTGGAGAAGACTAACCCAGGTATGAAACTATCAACTTTCCTCTACTTGTCTGTGACTAGACCCATTCTTTTTTTTTTTTAATTTTTATTAGTGAGAAACCATGGGGTACAGTTGTAGACTTACAAATTTTGTGCTTGGGTTTCAATTATACAATGATCAAATACCCATCCCTCCACTAGTGCCTATTTCCCACCACCACAGATCCCATTATCCCTCCCACCCCCCACCCCCCCAGGCCCCATCCCACTCTGCCTCTGTGACAGGGCATTCCCCTTTGTTCTCTCTCTCCTTTTGGGTATTGTGGTTTGCAAAAGAGTCAAGCCTGATTTTCAGGGAGAAATGTTGGATGATTTACTTTCCATTGATCACTTTGCATATAAGGAAATGTCTGTGGGGCCCTCTAGCCGGTTTTGTTCTTTGTTGCTGTGTGTTGTAAGATGGCGCTGGGGGGGCAAGTTGTGGGCATGACTTCCAAAATCAGAGGTTGCCTGAGAGCTGGGGCAGCCCCATTGCAGTTCGGAAAAAATGTCCTGGTACCCGCATGCCAGAGCCATGCTTGTAGAAGCTCATGGCTACCGGGATTCCATCTGGAGAAGGCGGGACGGCAGCACCTACCCCATGTGGGACCTCCCAGTGATATCAGCTCTGTTTGGGGCCAGAGCATTCTCCGGGAGCTGTGGGGCCCTCCAGCCGATTTTCTTCTTTGTTGCTGTATCATAGCTGGAATTCTGTGGGCATCTAGCGCACATGAGGCTTTAATCTAGACCCATTCTTTTGTCTGAACTCATTACTGTCATCCAAAATCCTTCTTCTAACCCAACCAGCAATTAGATTGTTTTAAGAAACCAAGTGAAAATTCCCTATAGTTTCTAGTGGAATGGGAAGGGGTTTTATAATCTATATAAGAAATCCTGTTCTCTTCAAGCCGATTTGGCAGCAGATATATCAATAGTTATGCAAAAGATAATATGTGAATAAATTTCAGTAAAAATAAATAAATTTTGTGCAACTGCACAAAATATGTTTTATGTGAATTCAGAGGACACAAACCATAACCTAGGATGTTCCAGGTGGGTTTACAGATGGGTAGCAGGTAAACCAGGCCTTGAGGAATAAGCAGAGAATTATTCTAAGGAAAGCTCATTGCAAAGAGAGAAAAAAGAACATAATAATAGAAAAAGGCAAGATATTTTTGTGGTAGGAAAAATTCAAAACAATATTTATTTAGAATTATATAAGTACAATAGAAGTCAGCCTTTTAACAATCGTAGTCTGAAGGCAATTTTTTTGAGAAAAGAGAGCACCATAAATACAAGCAAGACTCCCACAATACAAAGTTCTCTAAGAATGGGAAAACTAAAAGTCAAAGGTTGTTCCCAAGAAATAAATGTGGTTTTTACTCACTGTGCCCTCATACATAAATGTTCCCTTCATGTATGTATACACACACACACACACGTTTACACACAAACACACAACACTATTCATTTTCATTTAGAATGCAGTCATCTCCTGTATCTAATTCTCTCCTATGGAACTTTTAAGATACTTTTAAATAAAAGCAATATTTTTTCTAATTCTGGAAGAAAATTTTTGGTGCCAACTAGGATTACAGTAGGTGTAAATAAAAAATACTTAGATTGTTATGAATACTTTATTTCTTAATAGTTGTTATGCTCTCACCATACATACCCAGGTTACAATTCCTTTTTTAAAAACACACTCAGTGTATACATTTCAGTGATTTTTTTCTATTATGCCATTTCTATCAAAATTTTAAAGAAAAATAAAAAATTTAACTTACTTTGGTTCTCAACACAGTCATCACTAAATAATAGAAATTTACTTTTTCCTTAACAAGTACAGATCATTATTGCAAAAAAGCCACCCCTTCTCTTCTTATTTCTAAATATTTATCAAAACATGCCAGCTTCTCCATTTCCTCCTCCATTTTTAACAAGAACTTTTTACTTTAACCAGAATTTTATAAATCCTAAGAAGAACTAAGTGTTTCCATGAGAAATGGCATTATACTTTGTATTTCTATATCATATATTCTTGACACTTCATAGCTTATAATCATTTTGAATGTATAAAACACAAGGTTTAGAAATAGTTTCAATCCTATCCAACAGTGAGTTATTAATTTCAAGAATTGAAACCCATAATTATTGACGTATATGACCCTAAAACAACTAAAGGTCATTCCAATAACATTAAATGAAGTAGTAAATAGATCATATCAATTAGCAAATATCCCATCTATTCAATATAATTTAAGAATTGTGAGCTTTAATTATATAAATAGCTATACTAAATCTTAAAGTCCTACATTAATATAAATATAGTCAATCAAAATGAATATTAATATGAAGAAATATATTTATGATATAATCAAAACAGTTTCACAAAGTAGAACATATCATAATCAGAAAGTTATCAAATATGTCAAGGTACTTAAAATGGGAAATAATGCTTAAAAAAGTCACCAACATGCTTTAATTCTGAAAGTTACAGATAACGCTGGTTAAACAGCTCTCTATGCTATCAAGTCTCCAGAATGGGAGGAAAAACCTTCATCATATGTAGATTCAGTTGGGATGGTCCCCAATCTCTTAACAGTGCTAGCTATCATTTTATTTCAGTCTACTTGAATTCATATGTCTGGGAGATTCTGTAAAATCTGTCTCAAGGAAGCACAGGCTACCATGTGGGCATCGGAAGGAAGATTAGCAAGTGACTGAATCAGCTTCTTGACTATTGTCTTCAAACACTGATGAGCAGCATTCAAATCTCTGTCGAACTGCTGTCCTTCGATTTGTAGAGCCAAATGACTGCAGATGTTTCTAAATTCAACACTGTCCTAAAATAAACAGCAAACACAAACAAACAAGTTAAATAGGCTATTGGTGGTGAGGTGAACATTTGTTTGTTATACTTTGTGAGCCCAGTTTCCACTCTCATTTTTTTAAAAATGAGATTCCCCTGTTTTGTTTTGTTTTGTTTTTCCAGAGAACTGCTTTCCTCCTATGGTACTGGCTTAAATCTGACCTCACTTCACAACTCCAGGAAACAGACTAATAAAAGCACACCACGGCTTGGCTATATGACCTAGTCAAGGATTGACAGGTGAGCTATAACAAGTCAATAAATCACCATTCCAGAAAATTATCTAGATTAGAGAAAAAGAAATTTTCTTTAACTGGGTTGTTGGAAAATATCTTCTCATGATGAGGGAAAGAGCCAAAAGAGAATTAAGACTAAACTGAATATAAGTAGAACCAAGAGATGAAAAGAGGCCTATTCTAATGACATTTTCTGAGCATGTCAATCTAAATGAACTTGAACAATAAATCCCAGAATATTTCAGCTAAGTAAATTAATATAATTTAAATAATCCACCTGACATTGAGTTTCATTTGTTGTTTCCTTAAATACACACATCACTGTATCACTGTCATCCCATTGTTCATCGATTTGCTCGAGAGGGCACCAGTAATGTTTCCATTCATCCCAGCCCTGAGATTTTAGCAGCCTCTCCTTACTCATCCTTCCCAACTCTGCCGTATTGGAGACTCTTTCAGGGTCAGGGGAATATTTATATTTATATTTATAATGGGTCTCATAAATACGCACATATCCTTCATTATTATTATGCCATATTTATTGTCTTTAAGGTTTTACTACAAAATTTTGTATTTAATGACCATGATATATTCCCCAAAGAAGTCATATGGATGGTTCATAAGTAAAGTAAAGTAAAGTAAAGGCCCTCCCGTTGATCATCAATTTGCTCTAGCGGGCCCAGTAACGTCTCCATTGGAGACTTTGTTGTTACTGTGTTTGGCATATCGAATACATCACGGGGAGCTTGCCAGGTTCTGCCGTGTGGGCGAGATACTCTCGGTAGCTTGCCAGACTCTCTGAGAGGGGCGGAGGAATCGAACTCGGGTCGGCCATGTTGGTTGCATGCTAGGCAAACGCCCTACCGCTGTGCTATCACTCCAGCCCTATGGATGGTTCATAGGATTTAGAAAAGTGTTCATCGTCACTTATTATTATGAAAATGAAAATCAAATAAGCAATGGTGTATCATCTCACACTGGAGAGAATGGCATATATCAAAGACTGGAAACCATCCCTTTTAGCAGGGATGCAATGAGGAAGAGCCCTCCTCCATTATTGGTGGAACTATCTTATGGTTCAGCCTCTATGAAAAACAATATTGAGTAATCTAAAAAGTCAGAATTTAATTCCCATATAACCCAATGTTTCCACTTCTTGACATCTACTGCCCAAACACAAGAATATTAATTTGAAAGAATACATGCACACTTAAGATCAGTACTTCACTTAGTACAATAGCCAGAGTGTGATGACAAACCATATGTCCAACAACAAAAGAATGAATCAAAATGTGGTAAATGTATATATGCATATTTATATATATATATATATATATACACACATACACACATACACACATATTCAATGAAACACTATGCAGCTCTAAGAACAGATGGAATATTGCAGTCCTCTGCACATGGATGTCATTTTAAGCAAAGAGTCAGAGAAAGAACGAAAAATGCTAAACGATCTCACTCTGTGGAATATAGAGAGATAAAAAAAATAGGCAACCACAAGCGAATGTCCGAGCTTGCAAAGAAGCGATAAAGGAAGACCCAAAGAGAGAAGAGCAGCAGTGCTGGCAGATGTGGCAGGAGCCAGGAAAAGCATTTGCAACATCTGCCTGTCCTTCACCAACTACAAGACCAAGATAACTGCCCTCCGACTTCCTGATGAATCTATCACATCTTCCAGAAGGGCAATGGATATTATTCATGACTTTATTTAGATCTCTTCGATAACCACATCCACCTGTCCACATACCAAATTCCACAGGATGAATATGTCATTTCTAATGTTTTCAGTTCCAAAACCCAAGACACCATTTCCTCGGTTAAGAAGCAAACAGCACCCAGCCCAGACAAGGTCAGACCCGAACACCTGAATAATCCGCCGTCAATACTCATCAATACACTGGCTCAGCTCTTCACTAGATAACCTGTCTGAATGCAAAGTTCCATCCCAATGGAAAACCAGCAGGACTGTTCTACTGTACAAGAAAGAAGACATCCACAACATTGGCAACTATTGCCCGATCTGCCTGTTGTCTGTCATCTACAAGCTGTTCACTCAAGTCATACTAAATAGAATTGGCAGAAAACTGCATGAAGAACTACCATGCGAGCAAGCCGGGTTCCAAAAAGGATTCAGCATGATCAACCATATCCACAGTAACAAAACTCATTGAGGTTTCTCGGGAGTTTAAGATGCCTCTCTGTCTAATGTCCATTGATTTAAAGAAGGCCTTTGATTTGTTGAGACTGAAGCGGTCATCGAAGCCCTGGCCAAACAGGGCGTTCAAACTCAATACATTAGGATCCTCCGTGAGCTGTATTATGGATTCACTACCAGGATCTCACCATTCTACAAGGAAGGGATCATCCATGTCAAGAGAGGGGTTTGGCAGGGTGATACCATTTCACCGAAACCCTTCAGTGCAACCCTAAAGAACGTCATGCGACGACTCGAATGGGAAAGAATGGGAATGAATATAGATGGTCAGCAACTACACCACTTCTGCTTCACTGATGACATCGTTCTAATAACATCAAACATTAGCCAAGTGGCACAAATGCTGGCCGACTTCAACCGTGAGTGTGGAAATGTCGCACCACAGCTGAATCTCACATAAACAATGTTTATGAGAAATGGTCTTGCTCCTGACGTTCTATTCGCTCTCAATGGAATGAACATCTCCGAATGCAACACGAATGTAACAGTTATGTGTATCTAGGTCAAGAACTCAACATGACGAATGACCTGGCACCTGAGTTGCGCAGGAGGAAGAGAGAAGCTTGGCTCTTTCTTCAAGAGCACTGAAGAAATAGCTAAGAGGACAAAGAACCTCAGGCTCCGGGCACATCTCTTCGATTCCATCCTTCTCCCTGCACTAACATAAGCCTCAGAGACCTGGGTCCTACGAAAACAGGATGAGAAGGCTATTCATGTCTCCCAGAAAGGAATCGAAAGAGCTGTGCTTCACTCAAGTGAGAGAAGGAATCTGGAGTTCCAACCTACATTGATGATTGAGAATCAGGGACACTGTCTTGTTTGCCAAGCCATCAAAAATCAGATGGGCTGGACACGTAATGCGATTTGGAAATGACCGCTGGACCATAGTCATTACCGACTGTATTCCACGGGATGTCAAAAGATCATGTGGCCATCCACCTACGAGATGGTCAGACTTCTTTGTCAAGACCCTGAATGATTCGTTTGAGGCTCTTCCTGTTCCTGGAGTGAGCAGATGCCACTGAGCTAACTAGCATGTGACAGGAATGAGTGGAGACATTAGTGGCGCCCGCTTGAGCAAATTGATGTGTAATGGAATGTCAAGTGATCAAGTGATCAAGTGAAAAGAATAGACACTATGAGAAAAAGGCAACTCTTGGCACTGGATACAAAACCATTTATCAAGTTGGGGAAGTGTGGGTTGGTACGTGAAAACCTAACTAGGGGTACTGTGGGATCAGAATGAAGGGTCATGGGCACTTTGGTGATTGTTGAGTGTATAAACTTTGCATACCATTACCATAAATTTTAGCACTATTGTAATGACCTAACGTACAATAAATAAAAATAAATATTTTTAAATGACCCTGTTTGTCAATAAATCTCCAATGCAAACATAGAACAAAATGTTCTCAGGTAATTTTTAAAATGAAATAACTCGGGGGCTGGAGTGATAGCACATTGGATAGGGTGTTTGCCTTGCATGCGGCCGGCCCGGATTTGATTCCCAGCATTCCATATGTTCCCCCGAGCACCGCCAGGAGTAATTCCTGAGTGCATGATCCAGGAGTAACCCCTGTGCATCGCTGGGTGTGACCCAAGAAGCAAAAAAAAAAAAGAAATAACTCATTTTTATTTACCATTACTGTCACTGTCCTCCCATTGTTCATCAATTTGCTTGAGCAGACCCAGTAACACTGTGAGACTTGTTACTGTGTTTGGCATATTGAATATGTTGCAGGTAGCTTGCCAGGCTTTGCCCTGCGGGCGAGATACTCTGAGTAGCTTGCCGGGCTCTCTGAGAGGGGCAGAGGAATCGAACTCAAGTCGGCCACATTGGCTGCATTTCTTCCCATGAAATCTATTACATGTAAGATGCATACTGAAATGTTTCCACATCAAAATTTTGAATATATGATTTATTTTAAAATACATGGAAATGATTTCCCTCTGGCACACTTAGTTTCCCCTAAATCCCTTGCTACTGAAGTCTAAGTAAAACAGAACAAACATTTTTATTAATTTGCAAGAAAATGATAGAAAGCCCCAAGGACCATAAATACAGGAATAGTAGATTTACTTTAGCTATTTGCCAGTACTCATCAAGAAAAGAAAATTGGTCTCTCTTAACCTGGGTTTATAGAGTAAGATTAAGTTGTCCTAAGAATGTACCTCATGGCGTTTCACTAAGAAATAAATAAATAAATTTTTAAAATAGCGCTGTATAGCACTGTCCTCCCGTTGTTCATCAATTTGCTCGAGCAAGCACCAGTAACATCTCCATTGTGAGACTTGTTGCTGTTTTTGGCATATTGAATATGTCACGGTTAGCTTGCCAGGCTTTGCTGTGCGGGCGTGTTACTCCCAGTAGCTTGCCAGGCTCTCTGAAAGGGGTGGAGGAATCGAACCGGGGTTGGTCCGGGTGGGCTGCGTGCAAGCAAACTCCCTACCCGCTGTGCTATGAATGTGTAACTGTGAACACGTTACAGTAGTTTAAGTTTGAGT